CGGGGCGGGGCCGGAACGGAGAGCCTGCTGCAGTGGAAAATGGGGCGGGGCCTGGGGAGGGCCGCGTGGTGCAGCGGTGAGGGGCGGTGTCCGAAGGTCAGGGCTAAGGCTGATAAGGCATCAAGTCCGTAAAGGGCAGGGCCGTTTGCTCCCGGCTAAACCTAGACCCAGCAAAACTCTATTAAGCAGAGTGGATCACCCTTACCAGAGCTAGCGTGTGACCTTTGGGCGGAATCAATGGAAAGGGGTGTTTGCAGTTTGGCAGAACATTGTGAAATTCATTGATTGTTGTGGGAGTTGATGTCTTCGCCCTCATTTGGTGCCCCAGGGCTAGTAGGCCCTACTTCCCATAGTTTTAGCCACAAAAGGTTCTGCTTTGGGGCCAAGGTTTGGAGAGGCACAACCTCTATTTCTTCTTCTTTTTTTTTAATCTTTTGAGACAGAGTCTTGCTCTGTCACCCAGACTGGGGTGCAGTGGCACGATCATAGTTCACTGCAGCCTTAAACTCCTGGGCTCACGCAATCCCGCCCCGCTCAACCTCCAGAGTAGCTGGGACTACAAGGGGCATGCCGCCGTGCCTGGGTAATTTTTGTATTTTTTATAGAGATGAGGTCTCGCTGTTTTGCCCAGGCTACTCTCGAACTCCTGGTCTCAAGCGATCCTCTCACCTTGACTTTTTTTTTTTTTCCCGAGACAGAGTCTCAGTCTGTCACCCAGGCTGAAGTGCAGTGGCTCACTGCAACCTCCACCTCCCAGGTTCAAGCGATTCTCCTGCCTCAGCCTCCCGAGTAGCTGGGACTACAGGCGCATGCCACCATGTCTGGCTAATTTTTGTAGTTTTAATAGAGACAGGGTTTCACCATGTTGGCCAGGCTGGTCTACGAACTCCTGACCTCAGGTGATCCACCTGCCTCGGCCTCCCAAAGTGCTGGGATTACAGGCGTGAGCCACCATGACCAGCCTTACCTTGACCTCTTAAAGTGCTGGGATTACAGGTGTGAGCCACTGCCCCCACCCAGTGACACAACCCCCATTTCTGATCAAGGGGAGCAGTTCTTCAGGAACCTGTGAAGTCCTTTTTGTCCCTAGGACAGGCTTTCCTGGGGTGAGCAGGAGGGAACCTGGCCCTAAGGAACATGCTCCCCATTGTGACAGCCACCTCTTTATCTCTGTCCTTCCTTAACCAGGCCCAGAGGAGCTGGGACTGCAAGTCCAGCAGGATGGTTCTGAGACCACGCGGGTGCCCACTCCTCGGCCCAGAGACGGTAGGTGCCTATAATCCCCTGAAAGTGGGTGGAGGCATGAGGGTCTGAAGGACATGGATTGGGGGAGGCCACAGCCTGGGTTATAAAGCTCAGCAGATTAACACCAGGACCTGGAAGTCTTGTCCTTTTGGTTGGTCTCAGGCCTCCTTTGTGGGAATATGGTATCCAGAAAGAAGGAGGTGAGCTTGAAACTACAGAAATCTGGAGATTCCTAGAGGTGAGATCAGAATGAGGGGATAAGGATCCTGTCCTGAGCAGAGCAATGAAAAAATTCCGAATGTAGTTCTGGGAGCCCAGGGGATTGGGGGAGACCATGGAGACCATGATGACCTCCAGGGGACACAATAGGATGTAATCACAATCTCCAAACAACCGGCCTGGGGCTAGGGTACTGGGATTACGAGCAGAGGACCAGGGAGAGAGCAGACATAAAGCACCCAGCACACGTCACGGATCACTCAAAAATGTTTGCACGCTTTCTCCCAGTCCTGAGACTCTGGATCTGGACTAATGCTCATCTTACTTATTTATTTGTTATATTATTTTTTTGAGATGAAGTCTTGCTCTTTCACCCAAGCAGGAGTGCAATGGCACAACCCCCACCTCCCAGGTTCAAGCGATTCTCGTGCCTCAGCCTCCCCACTAGGTGGGATTATAGGCACGTGGCACCACACCCAGGTAATTTTGTTTGTGTGTATTTTTAGTACAGACGGGGTTTCACCATGTTGGCCAGGCTGGTCTCTAACTCCTGACCTCAAGTGATCTTCCAGTCTTGGGCTCCCAAAGTGGTGTGATTACAGGCATGAGCTTTTGCATCTGGCCCCATCTTATTTATGTTTGAGACAGTCTTGCTCTGTCATCCAGGCTGGAATTCAGTGGCACAACCATGGCTACTGCAGCCTTGACCTCCTGGCCTCAAGCGATCCTCCTGCTTCAGCCTCCAAAGTACCTGGGACTACAAGGCACACACCACCACCACCACGCCCAGCTAATTTTTATTTTTTTGCTTTGTTTTGTTTTGTTTTTAGAGACAGGGTCTTGCTATGTTGCCCAGGCTGCTGTCCAGCTCCTGGGCACAAGCAGTCCTCCCTCCTCAGCCTCCCAAAGTGCTGGGATTGCAGGCATGAGCCACCGCACCCAGTGCCAATTTTTTTTTTTTTTTTTTTTTTTGAGACCGAGTCTCGCTCTGTCGCCCAGGCTGGAGTGCAGTAGCGTGATCTCAGCTCACTGCAAGCTCCGCCTCCCAGGTTCACACCATTCTCCTGCCTCAGCCTCCCACGTAGCTGGGACTACAGGCGCCCGCCACCA